TAATACAGGTCATGTTCTAGAAGCACACAGTACCTCCTCCCTGCCCTCCTCCACTGCAACTGCCCGATTCTACTGCCCCTGAGGGCATAAACCACCAAGACAACCCAGTGGGACAAGGACAATTCTGTGTACCCTCTCTAGGCACACACCGAGCCCTCTCTGCAACTGAAGAAACTCCCTGTGCTTTTTCTCAACATGGATCTTACACTCTCTGCATTTCCACTCCCTAAACCTGCTACTCTCTGAGAGGACCCGCCGCTGCCTTCTCTAAGACTGTACAGCCCTCCAGGAGGCGGCCCTGAGCCCCTCAGCACCGGCTTCCCGGCCTGGACTGCCTCAGGGGACCAGGCCCCTCTTCCTTTCCAGGCCAAGCTCTCCACTGTGGGTGTCCCTGTGCCCCTCCTGCACCCGCGCCATCGCAGACCCCACTTGTGTCAAGACCCATGTCTCCCGTCAACCTGACTGTCCCCTCCAGGGCGTGGACGCTGTCTGACCAGAAAAGGGCAACTTGCCTTTCTTGACCTTCTTCTTCTGACTTGGGTACCTTGGTCTTCTCAGAGTCTCCACTTTGAATGGCACCAGCTTCCTGGGGCTCTGCCGAGCCTGCCTTCTTGGGCACCAAGCCTGGCTCCTGGCAGGGTCTGTGCTCGTCCTCCCTAACCAGCCCAATTACTTTACAAATTCATCAGTTAGCCACCTTCCTCAGCCCCCACCTTACAAACCCAATGCTGGCTTGCTGGGAGGCGAGACTGTCCTACCTATTACACAGTTAGAATTTAAAGCATTTGGCTATTTTAAGTTGCCTGTATTTATTCTAAGTTCTTAGAAGCATCTATTCACCTCAAGAAGATTAATTAACTTTTCAATCATCTCACTGGTTATAACTCTCATACATCGAATACACTTTCTGTCATTGGGGAAATAAAAGATTGGTTTTATTAGTATACTAACATTTCACTCAAGTGCAACGCAGTGGGAAGGACAATTTATATTGGTAAAAAAATATAAAGCATTCAACGTCATTAAAACAATTGCATTTTATTGCTTTCAAATAGAATTAATTATCTGAAAAATATTAAAACTGGAATTGTAGGCTTGTCAACTTGGCCATGAACTGGCAGTAGGACTATGGTGGCCGAGACTCAAGACCTCACTGCATCTCTGTCTCAAGTCAGTGGCACCAACAAGGGGCTGGACTGAAAGCTCACGGCAAACAAGACCCCTTTTTTGCTCATGCTGTATATATAGCCCCAGTGCTTAGAGCAGAGCATTCAGTAGACATCACACGGATTAACCGATAAACACATAAAAAGGATGTCAGGAAGAAACATCCATTGAGCAAACTCCAAAGGACCAGGACCCTCTTTCTCTTCCATGTCTATGAACGTTACCAATCAAAATGCAGCACTCTTGAGAATGGATCTGCTCTGCATGCTTACTTAGAAAAATGAAACTCTAATCCCAGCTCCGGCACGGCTTGTGTTGGCTTGAATCCCACACCTGTCCGTGACCTGCAGAACGGGGATGTGGCAATGGGCATCTGGTGGCGGTCCAGGATTATCACCTACATGGAGGCACCTTGGCTGTCCAGTATGCTTTCACACAGAGACACCTGCATGGATCTGTCTTTCAGGGATGTCCCGTGCAAGGAGAGATGAGGGCCAGCAGGCAGCATCCCTACCACCCACAGATCCACACAGAGCCGCCTCACCTGTCTGTATTTTCTGAATATTTTCAAGAAAGATCTTATTTGAGAAAAAGATCAGTGGCTAAAAAATAAAGTTAGAAATACACTGTTGTACATAAACCCAAAGAGGTGATGAGGGAAGAATCTACCATTTACTGAGTGCTATGTGCTGGGTAATTTTCACACATTATTAATTCCATCTAACCCTCATCACATCTTGACGAGATAGAGAATAATTATCCCTTTTTAGGGAATTGAAAACTGAGGCTCAGAGAAGGGAAATCTCATAACCAGCAAGACATAACCATGACATGATTTCAAATCCGTCAGTTCTGCAAGGCAGCCATCTCTATGTCTCTGTCATCTCTCAGCCTCTCTGAGTCCCTTCCTTCTTCCCCCTTACATCTGACGCCAGCTGTCAGTCATGTATAGTCATGGGTCATCTCGTTACTATTCAGAGTGAGTGAACCTTCGTGAACTTGCTTCATGCTGGTATTTATTCATTAGAGTCATTTACAGAGCACCTAATAGATGCCTGGGACCAGACAGGGTCCCAAGGATGCAGAACATCAAGTCCTGCCAGTATCGTCAAGGGTCTCACTGCCCAGGGGAGAGAGAAACAGAAACCAATGAACTGGTTTAAAACTGATGCTATCTTCCAAGAGCAGAGTGGGGACAGGACGTGGGGCAATAGAGGAACAACAGCTCTCTTCTCACTGTCAGTATTTAATGATGTCTGTTATTGACGTGCTTTCTGGTCCCGCTGGGTAGTCCTGTTGCCTCTGACATTATTCATGCTCCCAGGAGAAAAGAGCTGGGTACCACAATGTACCCGTGTCCACTGCGGCAGTCCTGGGTGGAGGCAGCCATTCCATGAGGTAAGACACACTGGGACGCATCAGGTTTCTTTCTTTCCATTATCCCTGAATAATAATTCAACTTGAAATACATTTAGACACTTTTAAAAATCTAACTCTGAAAAGAAATTCTATGCCTTGCCTTCCCCCTTAGATGTTTCTGTCCTGGCCAAACCAGAGAGATAATGCTCCCTCACCGCCTGCCTTGCACTCCCCAGGCCCTCTGGTGCCTCCAATTGAAATGGAACACGAGCAACGGCCCTACCTTGCTCTTATTTCCTAATCCAATAAACGGACTGCTGGATCTCCAATGACAGGGGCCAGACAGGTTAATATCTATGCATGAAGGTAAAAATCTCTGCCTCATCCCTTTGGAGAATCTCAAACCTCTCTTTCCATCTGAATCTTCATTTTCCCTGAGCAATCCAACTTCCGTGCCCCCTCCCCCTTCAAAGACTCCCGTCTTTCAGAATCTAAACAGTAAAGACAATTATCATGGCAGTAAGCCACCGAGGCGAGCAGAAGGCAAGCTGCAGAACAAAAGCCAGGAAACCCAGACCCACGCTCAAAGAGCCCCTGCAAAGCCGAGCAAAGGAGACGCGTCCGCAAGGCAGCACAGATACGCCACCAAATGCTGTCCAAGGGCACGAATGACTCCCGCTCTGGAAATTCATTTGAAGGAAATAATTTAAATGAAGAAAAGTGCAATGTGCTATGTGACAGCAGAAAAGGCATGGTTGAGTAAATTACAGGCCATTAACAATGATCATTATGAAGCCACAGTCACAGCACGAAACACGTTACCGAGATATTAAGTTAAAAATAACACCGCTGGATACGCAATATGACGGCCATATGTAAAAAAATCTGTCTGCATAATGACAGTGGGATCCGGGGTAATGTTCTAAAATGCTGCGAGATGCTACAATATCCTCTGAATAATAAAAAGAAATCGAGAGGAAAACAGGTGATGAGTCATGGCCTGACAATTATCACTGTGTGATACAACGTCCCCTTTGCAGGGACAATGACAGGTGGTTAAATGTGAGTACAGAGGCCAGGTTTAGCTCTTTTATCCTGGGATATTATTAATGTCGACCTCTCCAGAAATTAATCTCACTGGCAAATTACACCCTGATCTCACCTGGTTGCCAACAGGTAATTCATAAATATTGAAGGATGCCAAGAAATGGAACTGGAGAGTGCAGCAGGTATGTGTGAGGGGGAGGGCTGAGGTCAGGGGGGCCTTGGAGAGGGTCACGACCAGTCACAGTGTCACCATGTGGGTATCTGTGTCCTTGGTGTCTCAGCGCGGGCCCAAGGTTAGGGGAACCAGAAGCATGCTCATTTAAATCCAGCAAGTGTGGAAGTCCTTCCCAGGCCAGCATGCCCAGGTCCCTGTATGCCCCTGTCCACAGGGTGGTGCCACAGGAGGTCTCCTGAAGTGTCAGCTGCACTTCCACCTCCACAACTAGCCCAGGGCTGGGCCAAGGGGAAGGTGGATGGTTTCATATGTGTCTGTTGTTTGTTGTCATAAAATATACGTGACACAAAATGGATCATCTTAACCCCTTTCAAGTGTGGAGTCTGTGGCACTAAGTATGGTCCCAGTGATTTGCAACCGTTGCCATTTCACCCTCCCTACGTGAAACACTGTACACTCAGCTCCCAACCCCACTGCCAGCCCCTGGCAGCCACAGTCCACTTCTGACTCCACGCATCCCACTACGCTGGGTCCTCATGGAAGAGGAATCGCATAGCTGTTGCTCTTGGTGACTCACTGACTGAACCTAGCACAAGGACCCCGAGGTCCATCCACATGTAGCGTGTGTTAGCATTCCCCCCTCTCTAAGCTGAACACAGCTCCCCTGGAGGCACATGCCATGGGATGGGGGCTCTCAGGGGCTGCTCCACTAGGAAGTACCATCAAGTCACACTCATACTGCCCCAGCTCGACCCCACACTCAATTCTGGGAAATGGCTTTGCATCTCACTTGGGCCTCAGGCCAGGTCACCCTCACTGGTACTATTTCTGGAGTGTTCCTTCACTTGGGAAGCTGTCAAGGCTTCTGGCCCTTCTTCTCAGAGTGTGAATGGTTCATACCCTCCAGCCCAGGACAAGCTCACTGCTTGTCCAGAGTTCCCACCTGGGCCTGTGCTTGTGCACCTTTCTGGATCGTGCCATGGATTCAAGATGGCAGCCACTTGTCTAAAGGCTTTGTTTGGACTGTACTTTTGCCTACTCTATCCTACCTTCCAAGTGGATCCTGCTCTCTGCTCTTGTATGTAGGAAGGTGTCTTTCTAGGAGATGGACCTTTGATCCAGTCCACATTTCAATTTTCTTTTTTTGCATTACCCATTGCCAGATATCTTGCTCCAGCCTCCCATCTGTCGAAACCCTCCAACACTAGACTGAGGACACAGAACCCCAAAAGCACAGATGCAGGCCACTTACAGCCAGAGTGAGTTCCGTCCCTGCGTGATGACCCCCGTGAACCTGGTCAGGCGCCTGGCGTCCACTTCAATCCACTGATGAAGGTCATTCCTACCTGCGCACCATGCACCGTCGTAAAAATCATTTTCATTAATGCCTGCCTGGAAAGAAAAGAAGGGTGTGTTTCAGAAAGACCTGAACTGAAGAATAGTAAGACAAACATTTTCCTGAGGCTGAGAGGAGGAAGGTGAGATAGGAGAAAATTATCAAGGGGATAAAGGAAAACAGCGATTATGCCCTCAAATCCTCTTTCTAAGTCACAAAAGGGAGTTGCTCAGTACTAACAAGTTGGAACTATCTCAATGTGGTATGTCCTCTTCTTGCCCAGTGTGAAAGATGAAATTTAATGAGATCTCCTATTACTCATTCATCCAACACACAAAAAATGTCTCCCACACCCCAGCCCACACACGCCAGGTGCTGGGGAATCAAAGGTGAATCATTCCATCTCAAAATTTCACCATCCAGGCAGGAAGGAAGACGTTATGAAAACATAAATCAGAACCTAGCAGGGCAAGTGCTATTCCAGGAATATGGACAACCTCCTATGAAGCTTAAGGGTAGCAAAACGAATCTCAGGAAACCACACAGAAAGCCCCAAGGTGAGGGGGTACTTGATCTGGGTGCTGAGCTGGGTGCTGAGGTTGTTTACCGAGTGAAAAATCTGTCTGGTAGTGTCTGACTTATTTGATGTGCTCAGTATCTGTTACTATTATTACCAAAAAATCTTTGGCTCTGAATTTCCAAGGCAGGTGAAGTTTCTGCTCTGAAAATTTCCCAGCAGCATTACCATTTGAAGAGATGAGACCTTGACCAAAATAGATAGATAGATAGATAGATAGATAGATAGATAGATAGATAGATAAAGGACATTGAAGCCAAAAGAAGCATCCCGGTTTACCAGACCATTCTGCATTGACTCTGCTTCTCCATGGCTATTTCTCAAAGACCTAATGAATGAGAAGTCTGGACAGAGAATGGCAGGCCAGCTCACGCTCCCTGCCTCGACTCCAATTCTGCACACGGCCTGACTTTTAATGGGCATCAGGAAGGTGCAGTTCACCGTACAGTGGCATCACGGCCAAGGGTTCCTGCGATCCAACAGAAGCTTTGTATCAGGACCACCCTGCAGTCTGCGCAGTCCCAGGCCACCCTGACACCCACCTCCGTGAACTCTGAGGGCAAATGCTGGAGTACAAACACAGCCCTGACGCCTCACATGAGGGCAGAAGCTGCTTGTCAACAGAAACCCGCACTCTCCATAACCAGACGGCCTTGGAGACGTCCGTGAGGACCCCGAGGGGCTGCAGGTTCTGCCTTCGAGAACCATCAGAGAAAGGCTGCTCTTATCACATGTGTGTCACAAATGCTCCCGCGTGCTGGTGACATGCTAATTCTTAGGAAGTGGTGGGGCCTCTACTCAGCACAGCATCTCAGCTCCCAGCCCGTCAGCCAGCAAGGAAGCCCAGAATCCAGCCGGAGGGCTGTAATTATGCCCCTGCTTCCTTTCTGCACTGGAAGGTAATTACCCTGCTAATGACAGAGATTTGCAACACATTAATGACCTACAATATCACAACTCAGCTCCTCTCACGAAGCCCTAACATGCACTTACAGTTTGTTGTGACTCCCCTTTCCTCATCAACCACAGGCGAGACTGCAGTTTAGAATGGTCCCATTCATTTAGCAAAGCAAACCTTCACTATGCCTCTGCCATACATCAATTATTGGTCCAGGGAACAGGGACATAAAAGTGAACAATGTGTGCAGCCCTGTCCTCTGGTTGGCAGATGAATTAGTCTACCCATACTGCCATCTTCAAATTAGCCATCACACAGAGCTCTGGCTCTGAGGTCCCACTACCCGGCCGGCCAGGAATCCTAACTTGGCCACTTAAATGCAGACTCAGGCACTGGGCCCCAACTTGAGCCTTGGTTTCTCCCTCTGTCAGTATGGAAGCAATGATCATTTTTCCCTGAAGATGTTGGTTGTGTTTACAACTGGGTCTGGCACATAGGGTGAGCTCAGAGTTTGTACTCCATAAACATTACTTATCAAAATATTTAAAGCAGTGTAATTCAGTTAGCCCTGGCAAAATGTGGAAATGTGGATGGTTTATGAATTTTCTCAAGTTTCACAAAATTCCAGGGAATTATGCAACTAATTCCAGTTAACTTCTGCCATATTTTCTACAACTTCAAACACCCAGAACAGAAGTATACAGAACTTGAAGAAAAAGGAGACCCATAACATTAAAGTCCTTCACAGGAGTCCAATGCTGCCCCTCTGGGGTGTTTGGAAATGTCTGGAATCATTTTTGACTGTCCCTACTGGGAGTGGGGGTGTCCCTGCCTCCACTGGGTAGAAGCCAGGGATGCTTGTTGGACATTCCACAGTCACATCCTACAGTGCACAGGAAAACTGCCACCGTGGAAACAGCCTGGCCTAAATGTCTGGAAGGCCAAGGTTGTATAATCCTGGCCTAAGGCAAAGTCAACTAGCACAGAGCCGCCCTGTGGCTTGAGATGTTTACTATATGGAATCCCAGAAGCCTGGATGGAAGAGCTATCCTCAGCTATTAAATCAACATCTACTGAACAGGATTTGCAATTAAATTTAAGGTTCCTGGTTTGCTAGCTAGGAGATTTTTGCCTCCGCTGCCAATCTCAGTTCTTTCTGAAGACACCAGTCAATTAAATGCAGTTCAGTGTCAGGGGAATGGAGAGCCCTGCCTGAAGATGACTCATTGCAAGATGACAGCCACCTCTGCAAAATCAATTACTGAACTTAAAGGACAAGCACCTGGGAGAATTGAGTGAAAGAGGAGGTACCAGCCTCAGAGATGTCACCAAATTGTGCCACACTGCAACATGCAATATTTATAAGATGCCTCTGAGGAACCAGGAAGAGAGCACATTTGTCCCTTTCTGGTTAATAATACAGGGAAATACTTGAAAAATTTAGGAGAAATTTTAATTGAGAGTTGTTGAAATAAAAGGTTTGATTCTTAAATGTATGATTTAACACTGTAAGATTCATTCTACTATAGCAGCAAATTAACTGAGGATTAATGTAATTTTCTCAAGATGATGAAGTTATGTGCATCATTTCTTTACCTTAAAGAATTAATGCACCTAACAGAGTAAGTTTTATGTAAGATAAATGTGGCAGTCACTAAGACTATAACAAAGAGAAAACCTGACATTATCTATTTAAGATCAACCGAATAGAATTTCTCCGCTTCAAGAGGATGGAGGAAATATTTTTTTTTTCCGTGTTCTTTTCTCGAGTTTCCTCCCAAAGAAAAAAAGATATAGAAATAGAACCTTAAACTCTGGCAAAAAATAGAAGGCATTTATAATCCCTAAATTACAGTACATGAATATCTGAGTTCAAATGGAAGAATCCTGGATGACTCCAGAAGAGAAGGAATGCAAACCTCTAAGCAGCACATGGAGAAGCAAGCCACCTAAACTTTAGAAAAGTTCAGAACTTACATTTCAAGGTGTCTTTCGAAGGTGACCTGGGACTGAAACAGGGGATTGCTTTCTAATGCATGTAAGAAAACAATTAGAGCCCTACATCCTTACCCTCACTCCACAAAGAATTTAAATTCTTTTTTAATTTTTCTAATAAAAAGCAAACCAAAGAGCCTCTGGATTTGGGTGTACTAGGCACAGAGGAAGGCAGGGAATCTGTGAGGGTCTCAGGGGTTATCAGCAAAATGAGAGTAAAATGCACCAGCTCCCTCCCTCAACTCAGCTAGAAAGCTATGCAGTCATGCTTATAACAAAAATAAACAAACAAACAAACAAAAATATGACAGAGGATAGAAGAAAACGTCAGATAAACTGTACTTCATGTCTCCAGAAAGAACATCTTGCCTACCTAAAACAAGAACAGAGAAAGAAAAAGCAATGAACAAGAAGGGGTCTTGGAAATTAGGATTGGAAAGGTTAAAATTTTTAAAAGCCATAAAGAGAAAATTGGAAAAATCTCACAAAAAAGTAAGCACAGAAATAGACAATAGGAAAGAAAGAAAAGCAGTGAGAAAAAATCAAGAAGAATCTTGGGGGGGGGGGGGGATGTGCCAAATAAAAAACTATAAGATCATTTCCCATATCTGAAAGGTTTAAGTCTCCAAAATGCTAACAAAAGAACACAGCATGTCATTATGAAACTTCAAAATATCAGAAATAAAGGGAAGATTTTAAAAGCTACCAAAGAAGAAACAAGTAGCAAAGCAAATACATATAAAACTAAAGAGGAATAAAGTTAGTACCAGAATTCCCAACAGCAGCATCTGAAGCTGCAAGATTAGAGAGACCAGGCCTTCAAAATTCTGAATTCTCAAAAAGATTTTTCACCCTAGAATTTTATGCTCAGCAAAACCAATCAGTTGTGATAGTAAAATAGATTCATGCACCACTTCCATGAAGCTACTCAAGGATGCACTCCACAAAAATAAGGCAGAAAACAAGAAAGAGGAATCAATGGGATCCAGAAATCAAGAGCTTCAACATAGGAGAGTTCTCAGAATGATGGTGAAGGAAGTCCCAAGGCAGTAGCTATCTATGCAGAAGACCCAAGAGGAATCTGCTCAGAATGCAGCAGGCAAGGGCTCCTCAGGAGATGCCTACAGAAACATAAAAAATAAAAGCAGAACTAAAAATTGTTCAACAGGTTTGACCTTATAGAAAATTATATTGCCAGGTGTTTTACAGGACCCAGTCATTATAAAGGTATGGAGAGATTTTTTTTTAAAAAATCAAGGTAGTCCTAGGAAAACAAAATGTCTAGAAATATGAAATGACTTTTTCTAGGCTCAAAAGTATGATACTTCTTGATTAAGTTAAAAAAAGTCATATTTATACTGTTATAATAATAAATACCTTGAATGTGGATCTACCCAAATACTAAGATAGAATTTGATTGGCAGCATTAAAGAGGGGCAAGAGAATGATTAAAAAATGAACTGACAGCCTTATTCTGCATGGTAAGAATCCAAAAGACATAGTCAAAAATTCACAAATGATTACATGTCACTCTGTTCATATTATTTCAAAATAAAGATAAAATTTCCCAAAGAAATAAAAAGTTT